GTGTTCCCGAGGACTCCGCTACTAATTTGTTGATTTAAGGTGATCATGCGACCATTCGGCCTTGAACACAACATGAATCACCACACCTTCACCTTTAACCTTCGACCAGAAATCATACAACAATTGCAATCGTAAGTTCATTGAAAGCTATATCTGTACAGCGACACTGTGCTCATGAGACTTTTTCAGGCCTTTCATTGATATTCAGCTGAAGAGTTTTCACAAGGACGACAAAAAAATGGCAACTCAGTGGCCCCCAAAACAGGCTCCAAACGGCCAATCGGTTCCTGGAACGATTCCCGAATGTAGCATTCAGGTAGTAAAGCAGTTGCAACATGTTCATTATTAAATTTGGGAAAGAATACCTCAATTGGGGCTTTGGAAGCTTTTCTTTTGTCAAAACAAGACAGAACTTCTTTTTCTCTTTTTTCATAGCCCTATTGTCCAGGTGCTTATCAACGGCCAAATGCTGCCAATTCCCGATCTCAGCCGGTCGCTTTTCATCAAGCAAGTTGCAGTGCCCGGACCAAATACAATCGAATTCAATGTGAACCAATGTGTTTGTGTGAGTCATTTCTGTTCTGTGAGATACACTGGCGTTAGTATACGGTCAGTATTGCCAAAACTAGTTCACCATCGTTTCAGTCGCACTCATTCATCATGCAACTGGTAGTACGGCAACCGTTGGCAAAAGTCACGCAGGACATTTTCACTCGCACCCAAGGCTGCACTCCAGAAATGAGCCGCGACAAGTGTAAGTATATACTAGCAATGTACAAGCGATTTTTCAAAGGCAAAATTTACGATAATTTTGAGATACCCCTTTTAGTCGAGAAACGGAAGTATAGGTTGGGAATAGTTCGTAGGTATTGAAGAAAGCGAGAAAATTATCCAATTTCGAGAAAAATAACACTCTCAAAGGTAGGGATAGTAGAGGTTGGACGAGATTATTATGACGGATATATCATGGAAGGGATATTCGGACGAGATTTCAGTTTTTGCAATTCAATTGCGCAAAGAACTGACTACATCAAGTCGAAACTGTACAGAACTACCCTCCACTGTCACCATGGGCCACGACAAGTTGATTGTTCTCCCTACATTGACTTCCTTGCGATTGGTGCAGCCCCTACACTACCGGTGAAACTCGTCCGAGGATACACGATACAATCTTTGAGCCTTTATAACGCCCTATCCAGGCCTTTTTCGGGTACAACAGTTCCACATACGGTCTGCAGGGGTCCTACAAATTCATTCTAGCGGGACTTCTCAATAGTCATTTTTTATCGTGAACTGTGCCTTTAATGGATGGTGTCGCGCGTTAATTGCCAGCTCCGGCGGGCTTGCAAATTACCCCTGTGCGATTGTTTTCACGATCAAAGCGTTCAGAGATTGGCTTCAGTGCTGACAGTGACTACTGAGCATCGTCCATCGTGGCGCGCTTCTCATACTATTTAATTTGCCAGCTCGGCTAGTGCCTAACGTACAGCCGGCAAATCATTGGTTCATAGCATTTGACCGCTCATACGCTCACTTTCCAGTGTTGAAATTTGCACCACCATCTGGTCTTCGGGTACCATTGGTGTGTGACCTAACGCATCGAAGAATGTCAATTCCTGCTCGATCTACACGCTGTGCCCATGCGGCTTGCTTCGACCTTGAGCCGTTCATCATGCAGCAAAACGAGAACTCGCTCTACGAGTGTCATCTATGCAGGCGAGTTCTGTTGCTTGATTCTTTTTGTTTCTTCCTTTCAAATAAATTTTCTATATTTCTCTCATAATTTTTACGGGAAGATTCCTATCTGGTTATGGATTAACACTACAACAACAACGGTAACCATATTTAGTATTAGCCACTGAGTCATGGATGTTTTCGAAATGTCTATTACTAGTCTTCATTTTGTTGTTCACTTTGTTGGCGTCGCGTAGTGTTCCCTTTAGTCTCTTCAATACTGATAGGAATTCGGATAGTATAGTGGACAAACATGTCTGTTCCCAGATCTCGAAGCTCACAATCTAGAGGATCGCGGGGTTTGTGAGATTTTCGACGATGTCCAAGTGACCTCTTCATAAAAAAGTCCCACCATGTTTTTGAGACTTTATTCAAGATTGAAAAGGCATTGGCTAATATTCGTTGAAATATTGCAAGATTTCTGAGCGGCGGAAAGAAAGCCTCTTTGAAGAGGTAGATCCTAGAATGGCTTGCTGAGTAATGGAGCGCTCTTCGTAAACATCGCCCATGAAGCACTTCTCGTCATCAACATCTCTCGAGATTTCGCATAATCAATTGAGCCGTTTAGCCAAGAGCGACACGACGCTCCGGCAGTGAATAATCCAAGCACCTCGTCGAAGCTGCCCATCTGCTTACCGTCCCTGTGGCGTTCGATACCTGTTTTTGCGGTGTAACTCTAGAGAATTGCCCCGAAATTTACAGGGAGAATAGGGTCAACGTGCCTTTTTGTGGACCCTAGATAGGCATCGATGGAGTAAAAAATGCTCCATAACCCCTCTTGCTTCTCTACCTGTTGTGAAACAATCATTAAACACTGGAGGGATTACAGATTAATCTTCATTCCCAGCATACTCTCACCATCTGAGGCTTGAAAAGTCATAAGTTTGTTTTCACAGTTCTTAATTCGGAAGCTCTGTGGGGAACCCCCTACCCTCCCCCTCTTTCCCTTAGTTTACATTCTGGAGGCTTTCCGCAAACTTTGTCTGGATCGGTTTCAAATTGCTGATAACTTACCTTACCCAATTTGGATCTTATTGCTTGTTCAGTGTTTGATCCTGCAATCCTATCTCATTCCTCTACCCCTCATCTTTCTCCAAAAATACTCTTTTCGGGTCGTGGGATTCCTTTCCACACGACCACGCAGTCATCAGTCGAAGAGCCACCCTTTTTTAAGACACCTGTTCAATTATTACGTCCCAGCTTGTTCCTACCGATTTGCGGGCTCAGCCATATTCAGTGAGGTCATCAATTTCATAAGGACGACCCCGAAATTGCTCGATTCCATTGGCATTAACATTAAGTTTGCTGGGCTCTCGCAAAAGTGGATCGCAGAGCTTTATTAAGGAAGGGTTGACTGCCTAGCTCGACTTACGTTAGAACTTTCTGATGATTGAGGTTCAAAGTCCAAAACATTCTAACGATAGACAGTTGTCATGCGAACGCACATCGTACTGCTGTTTATCTTAGCTTCCTGGTGGCTCAACCAAAATCATCTGTTGAGGTATCGGACCCTAACAATTATCGCAATTTTTGGGGGCAGCACGACTGTCGCGATAGAAAAACGCGAGAAGAGGTCATTTGCACGATCAGGGTGTTGAATGCTTCGTTGGCAGGGCTCATTGAAGCCACTCGTTTCAATGAAGTTATTGTCTTTCTGTTCGCCATTTCCAAAAATATTGTCTTTTCGAGAAGCCGGTGGTGTTTCGAATGTCGAAATCTCTTGTCAGGTAATCGTAAGATATTTCAGAACGATCTTCCAACTGAACGAAATAGAAATCGACTATTTCGTTGGCAAAATGCTCCGGGAGACCACTGGCGCTCAATCAGCCGAGATGATACTCGAACCTAATGGTGATTATCGACCAATCGAAGCTGAATTAAATGGTCGGAAGCGCTCCAACGACGAGAACGGTCAGCGATCCTCTTCGAATTTTATCATTATACCTGTTGTAGTTTCCATAATCATGAACTGTGAGAAAGATTGTATCCCTCCTGATCAAACAAATCAGCTGGGCAATAGATCTGTCGGTTTCTTATTGTCGATCAAATCTTTTTTGGCCGTTTCAGTCATTTGCTCTTCAGAATATTCCAAGCCAACACAACATCTCTTACCTATGCTTCTTTCAATTTATAGGGATCGTTCAGACGGTGTAGGCTGCCCCGCCAATGCGTGAATGGTGCACCTTTTTCTTAGTCATTGTTTGTCTTGCTCGATAGAAATCATGCTTGCTAGGAGCTCTCACTACCATGCAAGCGAGTCTGATGAGAAAGTAGACGTTTCATCCATCGGTATACCTTGAGCTTGGTACTGTGTCTGGATGGCTCTCAACGGTGCACTCACCGCTCTGCTTTTCGACAATCCCTTCTCTGTTATCATTGACCATCTCCTGAATTTGGGATCGCTTCCTGAATTTGGAGTTGTGTAAGCGACAATGTAATTGGTTCTGTCATGTTGTTGAAACGAACAAATTGGTCGTCGGTTTAGGTCGACACACATATATTATAACTGAGACAACAATGGATGCCGTCAAGTCGTTTACGAGCTTTCCGATATGCGTGTGTGCGTTCCTCGTCCGCGTTTACGAGGCAAGGTTTAACGGCCGTCAACCTCGTCCTGCTGTAGCACCGCCTGGATTAATTCCAAATGACACATCAGAGGGGTGTATTGGCATGTCCTCAGTATAATGATGCCATATCAGAGTCAAAGTGTTCGATGCCTTAATAGACCGAACATTTTGTTTCAAATGTTGCACATACCTAGCCTTTTTTCCCTTTTGGGGTTTTGTTCGGGCTCCTGTATTGCGTTTAGAAGAGTAGCGGACTGATATGATCTCATTATGAAGATGGAGTGCAGTGTACGGACAGACTTGTACCGTTGGAGATCGATCTCACACTCAAGAACAACTTTCACCCAGTGGGCTTGTTTAGATTGGCAATAGATTGTATTTCTAGTGGGAATTGTATGCATGGCTTATGCCAGAAGCATCAAAACATTGCAATTCTCTCTCTTTCATGCTTCAAACTTGCAGGTCAGAAGTGTAATTCAATAGCCAGTCTGTAAGTTAATCGTTTTTACTTTTAAGTAGTTTATACACTTTGTAGCGGGCGTCGTGTCGGTCTTTCATATCTCGCTCTCTACATATTCCCAAACAGTTTTTGAAATCCCTGATCGACCGTGGCGTTACGGCAGGTAGTCTTCATCTNAGAAATGAACGGGTTGTGTTGGTGAAGGTAAGCTAGTCCATGTAGCAGCAATTGGAACATTGCAGCTCGTGACGACAACCAAACATGTTTTCAATGTGGGTGTGTGTGGTGGTCGCTACTAGGGGAGAAGGAAGAGGGGCATAACAGACGGACAGCACATTAAGCTAGACACACGGGGGTTTGACATCAACATCCAGCCGATGAGAATTACACACATCTTCCTAGGGGAAACTGGAATCGTTTGCTATTGGAGAGATTTCCACAAAAGTATACGGAGGGAATACGGAAGCTTACAAGAACAGGATTTCTCAGTGTTGTGAACAGTTTCACCCACTGTCCTTCAGAAAAAAGTGAAACGTGGATCCCCAGTCGTGGATTTTCTTTCAAGTTACGGGACCCTTTTTGCTGTTGTTCTTGATGGGACTAGTGAAACTCGGTACGGTTCATGGCCGGCAATCGATGGATTGACTTCAAAAGCGGAAGCGGCGGAATTATTTAGGAATTGGGACAACCGTTAATGAAGGCATAACTAGTCCAAATGCATAGGCCGTGTTTTAGATCACGTTTAGAGTAAACAACACCTTTATCTTTCCATTTATTCATTTTCAAAGTGCCTTCGCATTGTCTGCTGTGGGCAGATGTTTGGCGTGCTCTTCCAAAATCTGTTTATGCAGTTTGTTAAGTGCAGGTGATAACTTCATGCTGAACATGAGCTGCTGCTAAACCGGTTGAGAGAAGGCGGGAGGTGAGAAGAGGCGAATCGCGAGGGAAAGGGAGGGATGTAGTCGTTTGTTGATTGTTTTGACACGGACACACGCCGGCTGGCCAGCATCTTGGCATGTACATTATATACACACGCACGTCATCTCTGACACTCTCTCGGCAGTCAGCTGTCTCTCATTGAATAACTACTACTAATTTGGGCCCTAGCACAATTTGTGGCTGTGTGCGGGGCTGTTTGCACGCATTACTTGAGTATTTAGAGGTACTCTACTGGATACTCTACTGGATATTTTGGAGCTGGGAGTTGCTTTGGATCCTAGTATGATTCTTCGTAACAGTAGCTAGGGAAGCCTTGGTTTTTGGTTCATTAAAAATAGAAGGCAGAATAGCTATGGTTCGTCTCAGGGAACCCTAGGGACCTTCCGAATACTACCGCGTATGCGCCAAACAGCTACAAAGAAGCGTTCGAATAGTAACTGAATCGAAAATATTAAGTGCTGTGAAGGGCAGTTGAAGTTTCGTTTGGTAGTTTTCAGGTTTTCTTCCAATTCGAGGTAACTGGTACAAGTAGCCAGACGACATGCCGAATGGGCGTAGTAATCCTGCCTTGAGAAGTGAGAGGGATCAAAGTTCAGAAGCTCTGGCTTCCAGATCTTTATCTTCCGCTATCTTACTAGGATGTTTTAGGCTTCCATCCTTTGATTCTTTCATTAGAAGTCGTCTGCTCGCCCAAGCTTGTTTAACGTTAGCTCTTGTGACTTGAATCAAGGAGTTGTACTCAAGTGCATGGCCAGTTAATGGAATTAATAGTTGGACAAAACGAATGCTTTCGTCATGAAATGGCGTCATATGTCCGCTGCGTCGAGCTACTCAACCCTGCATCGACTCGAAAGTACGCCTTAGTTGGCGTGTTGCCATTCTGGAACAGCAGGGGGAAGTTTTAACGGTAGGGCAGCAGGATTGCTATTTTTAGGAATTCTGGCTTCCCAGACGTCATAATTCCAACGCGATCGCTAAGATTATTTTCCGGACGAATTTCAAAATTGTTATGAAAACATCACTTTTGAAAATAGATCTATCTATTTCAGGACCCGTTCATCCGATCAAGAGAATAAAGAGCGAGCCGTTTCCGGTTTCGAATGCGCCACAGCCGGTGATGTCACCGTTCCCACCTCCCCCGGGTTCCGCTCCCATGGGAACCGCTGCGCCGTCGATGATGAGCCCGTTTGCCGCCAGTCAAAGGTTGGTCAACTATTTAGAGCTTACTGGAAGGGGTAACTACGAGATCATGATTATTGTTAATTAAAATTGACGCAATTCTAATTAGATAAACTTCATGACCTGACTTTTCAGCCCATCTAAAGCAGTTTCTTCGCCAGCTGGCGCTCGTTTTGCCGGCGGTCCAGGCACTCCATCGACGCCACACGCTGCACAGAACCCTGCTTCTGTAGGAGCGCCCCAAACGGTAACGTCACAGTCGGAGCCGCTACACAGTACCAGTCCGCATCAGACACAAATCCAGCAGCACGGTAGCGTCGAGGCGCCATCGCTTACTGGTAAGTTATCTGAATTTCAAGAAGCCTTTTTCGCGTTCGTATGAGTTTTTCCAGTTTAGGCAGATCCACTGGGGTTGACCGCTCATGGGTTGTTACTTCCTATTATGATTTTTCTCATAATCACAATTTCCAGGATCTGCTCCCTACACCCCAGCATCGGTGAACTCGGGTGTCGCACTGCCAACAGTAAATCCAGCAGACCATCCGTTCAGTAATATTCATAATATATCAGTGGCGAGCCTTGACATTGAAATTGACGGCAAAAGCCTATTTGGCTCGGTGAGTGCACTAGATCAACTGTGGTGGAGTCGCAGCTGGCTGAACCCGTGTTTATAAGCAGTATCAACTTCTACCCTTTCAGACAATGATGACTGCGGATGATATCAAAAAGTACTTGAACGATAGCGACACCGTTTTCTCAGCATTTGACGATCTTACGTGCATGGTCAGTGGTAAACTTACTGGTTATTCCGTTACAGAACTCGATTCATTTTGGGAGGTTTCTGTAGAAGGCTGAAGTGACCAACAATAACGCGATGAATTTCAGAATGATCCCCCACCTGTTGTGGGTTTCCCACATTGCTGGGAAGATATCCAGTCGATAATCGCTGCTGATGAAAAACGAGGTTGACTATTGCCACGTGCGTCTAGTCTGCGTGAAAGTACCGTACCGTCGCCCAATCGATAATCTCACCTGATCTATCGCTGATAGTTGTTATCGGCAAAACACCGCTTTCGCCTCCATGTGTTGTGATGTTGTTGTATGTGGCACGCTTCTTGTCGTTATTTTGTTCAGGGGAATGCCCACCGTAAGGTTCCCACCGTTTCCTCATATGTGCATGAATAATCTAATCAATCAATACATCGATTGTCAAGCATAAGTAGTTCCTTTTCTACAGTGTTAGCCTAATATATGATATACATATATACAAACATATATATACGTATATACATACAGCTCACGTAGTACGTACTCGGCGCCAGTAATACCTATAATCTCATCTCATCATATACATACACCATTTAGCACGACTCCATGGGTAGCCAGCCCCATTAACGCTTCTTTTCGATTGTACTAATAATCACTTATTACCGTAACCCAATTACCGTATATCATTGGCGTCAATTGATCTTACTACCTTCCTTGCATGTGTACTGTCATCATGCTTTTGTTTTTTTCGATCTGTTTAACACGGCGCTACAGTAATACTACCGTAATCTGCCGGTCGATTGGGTATACGGCAGTTTCGCACGTGTTGCGTGTTAGTAGTATTACGTTTGTGCATCTCAAGCATTTCTATCCTTCCATTCTCCTTCCCGTTTATCATGTTGTTGTGTATTTGAGATATTTAGTGCTTTAGACTTCTCCTCGTGCGGAAGTGCATGTACACGTGGTTGTTTCCCCGCACAGGACCCACCCATTTCTCATGATACTCTGTATTTAAGCCGCCACTATGTGGTCTCTCTTTCCTCTCTTATCACATCACATTCGTTTCTACCGTTTATTATTCTCATTCATCGTATATTCCCTGTGAGGACTGTGCTATAATTTGTGCGTATGTCTCTTAGATCTACTCACGTCGATCAATAATTTAGTGTGCTACATACATTTGACTATGTTTAATAAGTGCGTTCATTATTCGTTCATCAGTTCCTGTTCTAATCATAATTTGATTGTGACTTCCTTGTCTTTTTTGTACATACGATGATATACATATTATATTCATAAGTATACGATGATCGAAATCATTCTGTTCCATAATACAACAGTTGTGTTATGTAACCAAAGCCAATAAAATTACGCAAAATACGAAATCACCTTATCTATTCCGCATCCAAGCTTTATACCGCGAGGTAAATTCGAAATCATTGGATCCGAAATTAAGACGATGGTATCCAGAAGTTGCCTGGACAGGCAACTTTTATATGTATGGTTGGGTAAATTGCATTTTTCCGATGTGCTTGCTAATTCAAAGCTAATGTCTAAAAGGCACAAGATGAACAAGAAGGGGAGAGGGGAAGGGAACTGTTTGTTTTGAGGTATGACAAAAATTGACGAGATGGAAAATGGTCCTGTTCGCGCAGCGACAGCGGTCGCTTGATAAAGATACAGCTAGACTGTGGCAGAGTGACAATTACTTGTGGAAGAATTTTCCACAAGTAATTGTCAAAATCCTGTGGCTAACCTTTTCTAAGCGCTAGTCATAACGCAAAGTACTCCTACGTGAAAAACTAACAAGAACGCGGTGAGAAGAGAATCGTAAAGTATATTGGCAGGGAGCATAGCATAGTGGTAACTGAGGCTAGATTGCTTTCTGAAATCTACGAGCATTTCACACCAGTCGCCACAAATGTGATGAACCTCGGTTCTAGATTTCTCATAAATCTCACCGCATATAAAATAACTCAGAGTACACTCGGCTACATCTTTATCGTTGCTGCACTTCTCGCTGTCATTCTCCTGCAGGGGACGTGCTCACAATACCGCGATGCCTTGGTGCTTGTTTTCAACTCTCC